TTCTGATCTGATCTGATCTGATCTGAATCTTTCTGATCTGATCTGAATGTTTCTGATCTGGTCTGATCTGATCTGAATGTTTCTGATCTGATCTGAATCCTTCTGATCTGATCTGAATCTTTCTGATCTGATCTGATTCGAATATTTCTATGATTATAATTATAATTATAATTATAATTATAATTATAATTATTATAATTGCAATTACAAATATAATTTAAATAAAATTATAATTATAATTGTAATTACAATTACAATATTTACAATAGTAATAATAATAATATTAATAATTATAATTATAATAAAAATAATAATTATAATCATAAATTATAATTATAATATAATTATAAGTATAATTATAATTATTATAATTATAATTAATAATAATTATAATTATATTAACATTAATTATAATATTATAATTTAATAATAGTAATATAAATATAATTAATATTATTATAACGATATTATTATATTAATATTATTATTACAATAATATAATAATATTATTATTACAATAATATAATAATAATATGATTATTATTATTATAATTTATTATATTATTATAATATTATATTGTAATTATAATTATAATCATAATTATAATTATGATTGTAATTATAATTATAATTATTATAATTATAATTAATTACAATTATATTTATAATTAATTATAGATATAATTATAATAATTACAATTGATTATACTTATAATTATAAGAATTATAATTGTAATTATAATTATAATATAATATTATAATAATATTAATCATATTATTATTATGATTATAATAATATTGTAATAATAGTAATAATAGTCTTCTTAACAATTGCATTTTTATTACTATTATTTTATTAAAATATTATAACTATTATTAATATCTTTTTTTTATCATATTATTATTATTAATATTATTAATAATAATTATAAAATAATAATCATAATAGTAATAACAATATTAATAATAATAATTAATATTTAATATAATAATAAAAAAGATAAATCATGTTTGAACTTTTCTGATCTGATCTGATCTGAATGTTTCTGATCTGATCTGAATGTTTCTGATCTGGTCTGATCTGATCTGAATCTTTCTGATCTGATCTGAATCTTTCTGATCTGATCTGATCTGATCTGAATCTTTCTGATCTGATCTGATCTGATCTGAATTTTTCTGATCTGATCTGATCTGATCTGAATTTTTCTGATCTGATCTGATCTGATCTGAATAAAATAAGAATAAGCAATAAGTAATAAGAATAAGACGAACAGAACAGCACCTTAGGCGGGATTTCGAAAATCTATTGCCACGTCATCGATCCGCGCACTCTCCTCTCATTGGCTGGATTCGGTCTCTTCGGCTCTGTGCTTTCTTATGTGTTTCTCAGCGGACGCGTGAGAGCTTTGGATCGGATCGAGGAAATGCTGCGGGGACGCGCGGCTACATCTGCGGGAATGGGCTTTTATGTAATTTCACCCGCATGTCTTCCGCTTTGAGGGTGCAATGACAGTGGTGCCCTTGGTGTTATGACGGTTCACTCAAGGGCTTTATGGTCTATTACAGATGTTTTTTGAAATTGCGTGATTAATATGCGGATCGCGAATTTTGGAATCTAAATGCACTTTGGCATGTAGGAAAATATCTTTTTTTATCGGTGTAGCAAAATATCTCAAAAAGTTATTGTTATCCCATGTCTTTTTAATCAATTGCCATAATTAAGATTTTTATGAGACGAATGGTACGGAGTATTTTAAAAAATAATGACACATACATTATCAAAATAAAAACAATAGAAAAAATGTGATCTTTTGCAATACATAATAATAAAACTCAAAATGAAAAGATATAAAGATAAAGATGAAATGCAGCGGAATATAAAATCTGTATATTGAACAAAGAGTGATTGGAATTCATGATCTACAATGTCTTAGAGGTCTTCTATTTATAGGGAAACCAAAGACTAATGATTACAAAAAGATAAGGGCTGGCATCTTATCTTCCAAATAATTGAGGTAGCAAGTTGTCTATTATTTTGTTTGGTAGTTAAATCTTGCAGACCATTGAATTTGATCAGCTTTTGATACTCCCCCTCAAGATGGAATTGTAGATGTTCTTCATTCCCATCTTGCATGTTATTCTCTCTAGATCTTCTCCGGAGATTGCCTTTGTGAATATATCTGCTAACTGCATTTTTGATGGAATGTACTTTACATCAATTATTCCTTGTGCTACCTTTTCTCTGATGAAATGACAGTCAACTTCAATGTGTTTTGTTCTCTCATGTAGAACAGGATTCTTAGTGAGATATATTGCTGATTGGTTATCACAAAACAGATCTATTGGCTTTTGAATTTCAATCTGAAAATCTTTGAGTAGTGATTTTAACCATGTGATCTCACAACTGGTATAAGCCATTGACCTATACTCTGCTTCTGTTGATGATCTGCTCACTGTTTGTTGTTTCTTTGACTTCCAACTGACAAGTGAGTTTCCTATCAGGATACAATACCCAGTTACTGATTTCCTGGTGTATGGACAACCAGCATAATCTGAGTCACAATAAGCTTTCATCTCTAGATTTTTATCTGAGCTATAGAACAAGCCATGACCTATATTATTTTTCACATACCTGACAATTCTTAGCAGTGCCTTCATATGAGTTCTTGTGGGTTTTTCCATGAATTGACTCATTATTCCAACAGCATATGAAATGTCAGGTCTTGTAATAGTTAAGTAAATCAATTTTCCAATCACTTTTCTATAAAGTGTAGGATTCTTCAGGAGCTGCTCTTGAGTTCCTTCTTCAAATTGTTTGAATTTATGATTCTGAATTATTGGATTTATAGCTGGTTTACAGCCTAATAATCTAGTTTGTTCAAGTATCTCCGATGCATACTTCCTTTGCGAAATATGTATACCTTTGGAGTTTCTTGCTATTTCTAGACCAAGAAAATATTTTAACTTTCCTAGGTCTCGAATTTTGAACTTGTCTTGAAGTTCTTTCTTCACGGAGTTTATTTTTACTTGATCATCTCCGGCAATGATAATGTCATCGACATATACTAATAAAAAAATGACTTTGCCATTTTCTTGTCTGATAAAGAGTGAATATTCACTTTTGGATTGTCTGAAACCTATCGTTTTCAGAAAATGAGTGAACGTTTCATTCCATTGCCTACTGGCCTGTTTTAGACCATATAGGGACTTTTTAAGTTTGCACGCATACCTAATGCTTCTGCTTTTCTCCCCCTGAATTGAAAGACCTGGAGGTAAAGACATGTAAATGTCTTCTTCAAGATCACCATTTAAAAATGCATTATGAACATCAAGTTGTTCCAAATGCCAATTGTGCTTTGCAGCCAATGCTAATAGCACTTTAATGGACGTTAATTTTGCAACTGGACTGAATGTCTCAGTATAATCTAAGCCAAATTGTTGAGTGTAACCTTTGGCTACTAATCTGGCTTTGTATTTATCAATTTCTCCATCGGAGTTTAACTTGATTTTAAAGACATATCTACAGCCTATTGGCTTGATGTCATCAGAAATAGGAACTATGTCCCATGTATTATTATCCTTTAGAGCTTTCAATTCTTCATTGATAGCTTTCTTCCATAATGGATCTAAAATAGCTTGTTGATATGTTTCTGGCTCATTTAGAGTCGATAAAGTGGCTGAATAACATTGTTGTTGTTCAGAAAGTTTGTCATATCCCAAAAAATGAGATAGAGGATATGCAATTTTAACACCGTCGTGATAAACCAAGTTAGATCTTGGTACTTTATAATGATGAAAATGTTTCAAATGTGAGGGTGTCTTGGCCTCTCTTTGTGATCTCCTTAACTGAGTATCACCTTTTGTAATTCCTTCGGAATCACTTTCATATTTGGGGGGTATCTTGACCTCTCCTTGTGATCTCTGTGATTGAGTATCACTAATTGTGGTTCCTTCAGAATCAGTTATATAATTTGAGGGTGTCTCGACCTCTTCTTGTGATCTTAACTGAGCATCACTCAATGTGGTTCCCTCAGAATCACTTATATAATAAGATGAATCTTCATTCTCATTTTGTATAGAATCATGATGTTCTTCTTGAGATATATTCATTTCTTTTTCTTGAAATGTTTCTGTAGCTATAGGTTCTAATGTTTCATCAAACTCTTGAAAAGAATCTGGTGAATCTGAGCCATTGCTCATATTTGAAGTCATCAAGGGACTTGTTGTGATATTAGGTAATGAACCTGGTGAGTAAACTATTTTCTCACTCATTCCTTGTTCCTTGTTAAAAGGAAAAACATTTTCTGTAAATATTACATCCCTTGAGATGAAAATTGTTTTTGCTTTAAGGTCATAGCACTTATATCCCTTGATATGTGCTGGATAACCGATGAAAACACTTTTTCTTGACCTTGAGTCAAACTTCTTTCTTTGAACTGGCAAACTAGATGCAAAACACAAGCATCCAAAAACTTTTATGTCTCCATATTCTGGTTTCTTTCCGTATATCATTTCAAAAGGAGATTTTCCATTTAACCTTGGAGTAGGTATTCTGTTAATCAGGTATGCTGCTGCTAAAACAGCTTCACCCCAAAAATGTTTGGGTAAATGTGATTGAAACATCAATGCTCTTGCTACGTTAAGTAGATGTTGATGCTTTCTTTCAACCACTGAATTTTGTTGAGGTGTATATGGACATGATCTTTGATGTATGATTCCTTTATCATTGCAAAAATCATCAATATTGAATTCTTGACCATTATCTGTCCTTACCTTTTGAACATTTACTTTAAATTGGGTTTCCACCATTTTGATAAAGTTTTTCATTGTTACCTGTGTATCTGATTTATGTTTAAGCAAATGAATCCATGTTGCCCTACTAAAATCATCTACTATGGTTAAAAAATAACTTTGTCCATTTGTTGTTTTAACTGAAAAAGGACCCCAAAGATCACAATGTATCAATTCAAAACGAGAACTGGAAGTATAAGATGAAGTGATAATAGAAGTATTTTTACTAGAAGAACAATTGGAAGTACATTTAGATGGAAAACGAGATCTCTTTTGTTTGGACATTTGACAAACAGTGCAATAAGAGAATTTATTACAAGAAACAATCGGAGATCCAAGCTTAATTAAACAAAGTCTCTCATGAGATAAATGTCCTAGTCTATAGTGCCAAATATGACTAGAAACACTTGCTTCGTTAGCTTGGTTGACTGAAAACACCTTTTGCTCAAAACATTTTTCTTCCCTTAAGTGGTATAATCCCTCCACTTGTTCATTCTGATTGCCAATCTTCCTCAAAGATTTCATCAATGCTTTTGAGTTTTCCTGAAAAATTTGGCAAGAATCTTTTGTAAAAATCACATTTAAATTGTTATCTGCAGTGATTCGACTTACAGAAATTAAGTTAATGCTGAAACTAGGAACACATAGAACCTTTTTCAGAGCAATATCCTTGTTAACAAAAATATCACCTATATATGTTACAGGGATTTTGTTACCATTAGGTAACTTAACTGTACTATTAATTTTCTTTATATTATCAGTGAAGAAACTTGGAGAAGACACAATATGATGTGTAGCTCCTGAATCAATTATCCATCGCTTATATTTAAATTCATGAGAAAAAGTACCTGCACAATTTGAAATTGGATCAGTAGGTGTTGCTGCAATTGCCTTTGGTAAACTTTCATTTTTGAATTTTTCTGCCATTGCTAGAAGAGAATGCAATTGGTCAGATGAGATGGTTACTTGACCATTTGAAACATTTATGTTTCCTTTAAAACTTCCGGTAGATGGTTCTCCCATCACCATTGCAGATGAACTCTCTTGCACTCTTTCATGCATGTATCTATCATCACCAAATCTGCCTCTACCTCTTCCGGATTTTCCACCTCTACCACCTCTTCCTCCATGCTCATAGTTATTTTTCTTGTTAGCACCAGGTGGGTAGCCATAAATCTTAAAGCAGTTTTCCACATTGTGGTTTGTCATATGACAGTTTTTGCAGAACATTTTCCTTTTATAGCCAACAGAAAGAGCTGAAGCTTCAGAATAAGATGATGTAAAACTTCTAGCTTGTTTCTGCTTCTCTTCTTGTAAAACAAGATGATATGTTTTGTCAAGACTAGGAAGAGGATCTTGAGATATGATTTTTCCTCTGATAAAATCATTTGAGTCATTTAGGCTCATGAGAAATTTGAAAATTTTCCTTTTCTCCTGAATTTTCAGGAACTCATCATGGAGTTTACATGTGCATTTTCCACATTTGCAACATGGTGAAGGTTGATAATGCTTAAGCTCTTCCCAGATGCGATTTAATTTAGTAAAATAATCACCAACAGATAGTGAGTCCTGAGTGATTGCATTCAGATCTTGTTCAAGCTGAAAGGTTCTTATGTCACTAGGCTCATCATATCTGATTTTCAATTTTTCATATGCCTCTTTGGCAGTGTCGCAGTATAATATTGTGCTTTTAATTTCTGAAGAAACAGAATTATGAAGCCAAGAAAGGACCAGTGTATTACACTTGACCCAGGCTTGTAAATTTGGATCATCACTTGCTGGCATAGCAAGAGTTCCATCAACAAAACCCATTTTGTTTTTTAGTTTAAGATTCATTTCAAAATCTCTGTGCCAAGTGTGATAATTCCTTCCATCAAGGAGTGTAGTGACTGCTCCAGAATTACTATTGTCTGTGTGATTAAGATAGTATGCACTATACGGGTCATCATGCTCAAGAGAGCTGCCACGCTTGGTGGTTTTAGATGAACTTTCATCCGTAGTTTTACTAGATGCATCATTCATTTTCAGCACAAAACAAAGCTTAAAGGAAACAGTCAAATATGAAACAGAGAATTAAGAAATTTGAAAGAATCAAAGAGTCCCTAGGCAAGCCTAGGCTCTGATGCCATAATAAAACTCAAAATGAAAAGATATAAAGATAAAGATGAAATGCAGCGGAATATAAAATCTGTATATTGAACAAAGAGTGATTGGAATTCATGATCTACAATGTCTTAGAGGTCTTCTATTTATAGGGAAACCAAAGACTAATGATTACAAAAAGATAAGGGCTGGCATCTTATCTTCCAAATAATTGAGGTAGCAAGTTGTCTATTATTTTGTTTGGTAGTTAAATCTTGCAGACCATTGAATTTGATCAGCTTTTGATACATAATGTTACACGTTTATGGATTAACTCGATAAAAAAACTAATTTCAGAGTAATAGTGCAATACGTACTTATCTTTATTATTTTCTAAATGATATTTAAAAAAGAGTTTTAGAGTTCGATATTTTCCAACGAACTATGAAACATTTGAAACGAAACAAAGTACAGCAAGATATGATCAAGTCAAATATTGCACAAGTTTGGAATAAAATGTGAAATGTTTAAAAAAAATTATTAATTTGTACATATTCATTAATACATAATGTAATACAAAATGTAGTTTTTTGTACAAAGTTACTATATTAATAGTTTTAGTGATTATTATTATTTTCTATATTGTACAGATTGTGAAATTATGCATATAGTAATTTTGTCGCGTTTATTCCCAAGTGTTATTTGAATACTTACCTAATATTTTAGTGAGAACCTCATTTTTATTTATCGAACTTTATAATTACATCAGAAGGTAATTGAATTGTACTAAGACCTTCTCCCTCTAGGGCTTGATCGTAGCTAGGGCTTCGTTCGTCCGTTGTCGTCCTTGTGACGAGGAGCGGTGCCGATTTCAATCGGTCTTGGATTTGTTGATCTGAATGTTGCCTAACAAGAAGAGGCGGATATTGATTCATACGAGGAGGTTGGCAGGGCTGTTTCGGTTCTTCTTGGCTACAAAGGAGGGAGTCGGGGTTGTGGGAAGGTGACGCGGGTAATTGATACTCTGATTTGGAGGCAGTCGGACTCTGAGGTCTTTGGATGGAGAATATAGCCGACTTGTACCAGAAGATGAGCGTAGATGACGAGGCGGTGGAGGTGGATTTTGATGAGGTCGGTACCGAAGAAGGTTCAGGGGAGGAGTCTCGGTCAGGCTATCCATTGGTGGGACTGCCAATAACGGACAGGAAAATAAAATTCTCAAAATTCAAAGAACTGATGGCTTCGCTGTGGAGACCGGGGAAGGGTGTGGAGACCAAAGAAATATGCGATAAGAGGTGTTCCTGATATGAAACGTGTGCTTGATGGTGGTCCATGGCAGGTTTGAGAGAAATTTACTGATTTTGAAAGAAATTAAACCATATGATATCTCGCATAAGATCTGTCTGAATGAGGCTAAATTTTGGGTGCAAGTTCACATGTCCCGTATTGTTTACTGAATTTAGGCACTGCAAAAAGGGTGGGCAATTTTGTTGGTAGGTTCATTAGCTATGATAATAATCAATTTGGAGAAAAGTTGGAGTCCTACCTGCGTGTTAGAGTATGCATGAGTGTGGAAAAGCCTTTGAAAAGGGTACAACCCTTAAAAAAGAGTGTATTGGGTATTGGGTGGACTTCAAGTATGAGAAACTGTCAAACTCTTGCTTCGTATGTGGAGTAGTAGGCCACTCTAAAAAAAACTGTCCATTAACATATGAAGAAGGTGTTCTCGAAAAAAGGCTTGGTGTATATCTTAGGGCAGGTGGTGGGGTGAAGACAAGTCTCGCAGGAGGAAATAAATGGCTCATGGAAGGATCCTCAAGTTCGAGCAGGGCTCCGCAGGTACAGGAGGATGATAGGTCTGGCGGAAGAATGAAGGGAGAGAAGGAGGATACAGTGATGTCAAGAAGCAGCTCACCCAAGGATATATAAGATATAAATACAAGTAAATAAACATCATCAACATTATAGAGAGTTTTATTTATTCAATGAGTTGCGCAACTAATAATTACAGTACTCAAAATCGAACACACTCAAACTATAGAATGACAATGATATGTGTGCAGATTTGTTAGAATGCCAAGATTGTTAGAAATATGCGCAGATTTGTCAAGATAATCCCCAAAGCAAATCTTGACACCTACTCAATATAATTTCAAAACTAGGCAAGTCTAAAATGTTCAAGCCACATACAAAGCATAAGCAAAACATATGGCAGATCTTCAGACCAAAGGTACTTGAAATGACAGCACACAAAGTGAAACCCCAAATGATAGAAATTCTCGCTGGTGCACCTTAGAAAGTTTAGAAAGGAAGGAAAATAATGGGTTGAAGGAGAAAACTACAGAAGAAGACGGCTAGATGCGAACACCGAGTGAAACCTCAAATGATATCCCTTACCTTTAGATGAATCAAGAGCAATCGAGCAGGAAGGATTTACACAGAAGACGGCTAGATGTGAATCAATGTCGGGAAAGAAGAAGACGGATAAACATGTCTTTTAAAGTGGTTAATGGTATAATAACAGATTTCAGACAAAAAAGTAAGGGTTGGGCTACTTTTGAGTTTTTAATAAAAATTAGCCAAATCAGCCCAGCATAGGGGCGTTTGATGGTTTTTTCTTACATTCAGGCTTATCAACCCATTTATGGGACTCCAAACGGCCACTAAACATCATAATAATCACTATAAGTACTATTATCTTTTTTTTTGAAAGATATTGATATCGTTGTTGTGTTTTAAACTCACACTTTTATCTTTTAGCTTCATTATAGTTATATATTGATCTTATGTCATTTTACAATCCTTGAAAGTTATTATATAATTAACTAACCATCTTCAACTACATTACATAGAAACACCTCTTATCCAAAAATATGTATTACAAATCATTTCATGGGAGTGGATTTACCACCGCCCAGAATTTGTGTCATGTTTGTCAGTGCATAATAAAATTGCAACAAATTTATAACCCAATTCAATAGGGGACAAATAGGGGTGGACGTGGTTCCCGAGACCAAATCAAATCGAGACCCAAGCTACAGTGGTGGAAATACGATGGGTGATTCGATACTAGATAATTTTCAAGCCTAGTTCCAAATGAATGATAACAAATTCAAAGTACCATTGTGTCGGTGTGCCGAGAATACATGCAAAAGTTTAAAATGTTACAAGCTGATACACATTAAGGTTCATATTACTTTAATGTTCATATGGAAAACCTCCAATCTTTTGAGACATTGTGCATTACTCTTAACATCAGACGAGAGTGGGGGAGAAGATCAAACATGCCATTAATGAAGCTATTGAAGTAAGTTTAGATATTGAAGATGAACTGAGAGAAGATGATCACGATCTCCAAGAAAGTTACAATAAGAAGGTGAAGCAATAATGAATAATATCACCACGTTAGATGAACCGATGTCATGTACACATTCGGCGATCCACACTCACGTTGTCCCGTGTTTGGATTTCTTTGATTCACTCCTCAATGATGGTACTTCTTCTTGTGTCGGAAATGATCACAACTTTCAAAAGGGCATTAATGTGAGCATCGAGAATGAGAGTTGTGACTCATTCATGGGGAGTGATACCGAGTCATGGTGGTATTCCACATCTTTACCTTGAGATATCTTTTGAGCTTCAAGTGATATCTAGTGTGATCAAGGCATTGACCTATATTTTTGTTCACTTGAGAATGTGGGGTCATTCTACCCTTCTTTGCCCATGAGGCTTATGAGAGCGTGTGGTACCCATGTGGCATCATGAATTCAAAGGTTTATACCACCTAAAAATGTTTGTTGAAGAAAAGTTTAAAAACTGTAAAAATCAGTACATCACTATGGTCATCTGACACACAATATTACAAATAGCGCTTTTGGGAGACAATCCAAGTTTCTTGAATTTATTGCCTGATTTTTCTATTCCAACCTTCTAATTTTTTATTATTGTTGCACTTAGTTAAGGATAACTTGAGCTCCTTATTATTTGATTTCTTTTACTCATATGGATATGTTGTCCTAACTAATCTTTATGCAGTTTAGAGTCAATGTTCCTAATTTGAGTTGAAGATTCAAAATTGATTATGGCATCATGGCATAAAAGGGAATTTTCTTATTTTTTATTTCTTTTTAAATGCATGATCAATCAGTGGAGTTATAATTGCACACATGACTCATTCTCCTTACCTCCAACATCATTAAGTATTAATTTTGGGCATCAAAGGCGATGCCAAATCTTAAATGTGAGGAGTGTACATTTAAATTTGGACCTTTTTTTAGAATCAATGGTGTTAATACTCTTAAGAGACTAGTTTGTATTTTTTGGAAAGAAATTTCTCTTTTGTGCCTACCTTTCTTTAAACATCATTTTTTTTATCTTGATCTGAATACAATATAACTTTTGTTTTTAGATGCAGACGGCACCGGTAGTACATGTGTCAGCAAATTCTCCTTTATGATGGGCCATTTTGGACATATATAGCCTTTTTATTGAATACTACCTCAGATTTGAATCTTACTTCCCAAATGGTC